AAAATCTATCGAAATCGATTTAAATTGATTTTTTAGACACTTAAATCTATTTAGAAATTTGAAAAAGATCGATTTAAATCGATTTAAAACGGATTTAAGTGAGATTCTGATGGATTTAAGTGACATTCGGATTGATTTTAGTGAGTCGGAAAATCCATTGAAATCGATTTAAATTGATTTTTGACACTTAAATTGATTTAAATATTTCAAAAAGATCGATTCAAAATGGATTTAAGCGAGTTTCGGATAGTTTTTAGTGAGTCGGAAAATCCATCCAAATCGATTTAAATCGATTTTATAGACACTCAAATTGATTTAAATTCCATTTAATTTCATAAAATGTACATGATGGTTAATCGATTTGGATCAGTTTAAAATCGATTTAAAATCAATTTAAATTGACCGGAAACCGTTTCTATTACTGCGGGTAGTTTCTTTGCGTTATGGTTAGTTTGGAATTTTTTTGAAAATGTTATAGAATTTAGGGGCAAAGTCCAAAAAAGCCAAAGATGCCAGAGTGAAAGCGGCAAAAAATCATTCTTATAAAAACAAACAATAACCAAGATCACTGCAGCAAAAGTACCTCTCAGAAATTTTGGTATTATAAAAAACTTCCAGCAAATCGACCGTTTATCAACAGTTTCAATGGCAAAAACTAAAGTCACAACGTCTTACACATGATTATCAACCCTCACTGACAAAAATGGATTAGGATCAATTTTGGTATGAAAAAAGTGCGTTGATTAAATTTAGATTGATTTTAGTATGAAAAAAGTATGTTGGTTAAATTTAGATCGGTTTTAGTAAGAAAAAAAGTACGAAGATTAAATGGAAAAGATGATGATTGATTTGGATCGATTTAAAATTGATTCAAATTGATCTTAAATCCCAACTGAAAAAATTGATCCAAATCGATTTTAAATCTTTTTAAATGCATTTTTTTGGTCTGAATTTTTTTTTTTATTTTAAGGGGATTTAAATTGATTTTTTTTATTCGAGATTTATCAGTTTCGAATTTTTATTGCTTTTCTCGTTTGCTTATCATTTTTCATTTTTTATCCATAGCGTATTGTAGCATATAAAGACCAAATAAAAACCAAAGTATCGATAAAATTCGATGATTTTTGTGCATATACTGAGTTCAAAAACTGATCTTTATTGACCCTTTTCTTGATTCGGTTTATAAGTTTTGCCCAAAATCTGATTTATCTTCATAACTTTCTATAATTTAATTGCATATATTAGTGGGATCAAATTTTAATTTGTTCTGACCCCTTTCTCTTTTGTAACATAGGTTTCACAATAATTTTCTATAATTTCATTGCCTACTTTCGAGCTAAAAATCTGATTTGTGTGGATCATTTTATTGAATTATATAACATCTGCCACGAGTGTTTTCATTTAAAAATCGAGATTAAAAAATCCAACAATTTTTTTGAGGGTATTTTTTTCACCTTGTTTGCAAAAAATTGATTTTAAGGGTCTGAAAATCCATCCAAAACGATTTAAATTGTTTTTTAGACACTTAAATCGATTTAAAATTTTCAAAAAGATCAATTTATATCAATTTAAAATGGATTTAAGTGAGTTTTGGATGGATTTTAAGGGGCTGAAAATCCATCCAAAACGATTTAAATTCTTTTTTTAGACACTTAAATTGATTTAAAATTTTCAAAAAGATCGATTTATATCAATTTAAAATGGATTTAAGTGAGTTTTGGATGGGTTTTAGTTAGTCGGAAATTCCATCCAAATCGATTTAAATTGATTTTTTAGACACTTAAATTGATTTAAAAATTTCAAAAAAATCGATTTAAATTGATTTAAAATCCATTTAATTCAATCCGAAACCATTTTTGTCAGTGAGGGAAACTCAGCTCGTTTATTTTTCTTTCGAAAATTGAACGCGCAGAGTTGAAATTCAGTTCACAAAAACTTAAGCTTGAATTATGAAAACCAAAGTGAAACAGGACTGCTTGTATTAAGTCGTTCTGACCATACGTTCTGAGCGCTTTTTTATTCTATATAGTAGTTTAAACTAAAATAATTGATGAAAATTTCAGAAAAATAGAGTTAAAGACTAGTTAAATTTAAAAAACACAAGCTCAAATGTAAAAATATCTTTTACTTGTAATCGTTTTCTATGCAACTACTGGGGTTTGGTGCACGCAATTTTTCTTAGTTTTCCATAAGCAAGAAGCAAGCGCGGCGAATTAGTTCGGCTCAAAATTGCTTCAAATTGATGTGAGGCACTTTGATTTAGGCAAACATAACGTTAGTAGAATCCAAGTATGTGCTTTACATTTGAAGCGGGGAAGAAAAGGGAGGAAAAAAGATGTCATGTTTTCTTTTTGTTTTTGAATTTTTTGGCTGATAACTACAAACTATGATTAAAAAACTTGACTGCTGAACGCACAGGCAAAAACAGAAGCCTGACAACGGTTGATTTAATGATCAAAACAATCCGTTTTAAGATATTACAAAAGAAATCTTAATACTACAGCAAGACTGAGTCGGCCAAAACGACCGCCTCCCCTCCCCCCCCCTCTCAAATCTGGTTGCCAAATTTTTTTCAAAGGGTTGTCCCTTTGGTATAAATTTACGCGATTCATTTCGGCCGGCTAAAATCAAAAATTTTCTAAAGCCGCCTTTGGCGCAAACACAACAAAATTTAAAGGGGAAGCGCGCGCCGAAAAAATGCATTTTTTTGGTCAAAACATTCCAAAAAGTGCCTAAAAACGCCTTTTTTGGCCCGTTTTTGAAAAATCCGTTTTTAAAAAAAATTTTCCATCAAATTTCTTTTTGAAACCCCCCTCCCCTAGATTGACTTCTGAGCATGCCACTGACAGGCATGGTAATGTTTTTTGGGAGCTGTTAAAATAAAAATGACCTGAGCTTAATTAATATCAATTGCATTGAAATTGCTGAAACCTTCACAAGTTAACAATTCACAAATAATCGTGGCAGAAAAAAATCTCCATATCCTGAATTGATAAAAAGTAAAACTGTTTCATGAAAGCACTGTTCTTTTAAAGATAGGCTTTTTGAACTCAAGCTTAATTGATTTTTCATCCTGCAAAAGTTCAAAATGTTTTGCGTGCCATAAAAAAAATCGCGCAGAAAAAAAAACTATTTAAAAAGGAGAGAAAAGGGACGGATCCAGGATTTATTCGAGGGGGGGGGGGATATTTTCATAAAAAACTTTTCGAAAATTTTGTCGACCTTTTATCAAGTCGAATGAAAGGATTTTTCAAACTCTCCCTAAGCACGGTTTAGTCCCCGTTTTGGCCAAAATTTATGCGCAGCAGGCAAAATTTGAAAAAAAGCAGTCCAAAAAAGGCGTTTTTAGGCATTTTTTGGAAAGTTTTGACCAAAAACTTGCGTTTATTCGGCGCGCGCTCCCCCTCAAATTAGTATATATTGGCGCTCAAGGCGATTTTAGAAAAATTTTAGGGTCGGTTGGCTTAAAATGGATTTCTTAAAAAGTACCAAAAGGGGGACCCTTTGGGTCGGCAGGGGGTCAAATTTCTGAGGAAGAGGGAAGCGCACTCCTCGCCCCCCCCCCCTAAATCCGCTCCTGCTCTATACAGTAGCATATTCCCCTCAGTTCAATTTGCCAGGTGTTTTCTTTCGCCTGCTATTTTATTTCACGACGCCCATTTTTTTCTGAAGGCGTCTTCAAGTTGCGCCCCTAAACATGCAATTTTTAACCTGTTTTGCAATTATCATTTTTTGGCCTGTTTGTAACAAAACTTTTTTCTACTTTGGCGCAAAACTGTTTCGCAAAACATGATCTCTATATGGCTTTCGGGTAGCTTTCAAGTAGTTAAAAAAGTCGACAAAATTTTCGGCTCCCTCGTCCAACTAAAAATCATCCGCACGCAACTAAATTTATTCTATGAAAAAAAATTTGGTAAGTTTTCGGGTTGCTCCAGATTAAGCAAAAACCGGCAGATTTGGTTCTCAGTTCGAATTGATCCAACGGAGACTTTCCAGACTCTAATACGAAATAAGACAGATGTGTTGACCAGTATGCAGCTCAAAATGTATCACTCACAAAGATGTTTTAAAATCCACTCAAGTGACGGAAAAGAACTTTGAAAGAATATAGTTGCAAATAGATTTCAAGTCGACCGATATTAAAATCATAATAGAGCAAAGAAAACCTGTTGAAATTGATTTTAAATCGATCATTATCAGGGCTGGATTCAGGTGGGAAGGGGGTGTGGCGGTACGGTCGCCTTCAGGGGCGGATTTAGGGACCCGTCCCCCTTTGGTAGTTTTTAAGAAATCCATTTTTAGCGCCTTCGCCAAATTTTTTTAAAAGCGCTTTCGGCGCCAAGATATACTATTTTTGAGGGGGAGCGTGCTTTAGGAGAGCTCGGAAAATCAACGTGGTCGACCTAAAAAAAGGTCGTCAAAATTTTCGAAAACTTTTTGAAGATACCCCACCCCGTCGAGAAAATCCTAGATCCGCCCCTGGACGCCTTCATCCTCAGGGACTCGACAACCTCACCAACCAAAGGAACCCCTTTTGATATTGTTTTTATGATACACGTTTTCGCGCGAACAACTCTAAAATTTCTCCTTTTTTGCTAAAATTTGGCGGCGGCGCAATGAGTTTTATCAAGATAGGGTCTTTGTAGAGTTTTGGAATCGCTAGGAAAATCAATTTGGTCAATCTATAAAAGGGAGAAAAAATTTTCACTATTTTTTTGAAAGTGAACCCTCCTCCCGAGAAGAAAATTTTAGATCCGCGGCTGATTTCCATTTGTTTCAAAGTCCATTACAATTTCTTAAATGTTTATTTTTCGTCTATTCTTATTGATGAAACTCATTTTAAAATAGATTTAAATCGATTTAAAGCCATCTCTGTTTTTTGAAATCATTTTTCTCTCAAGAGTGATTATTTACGTCAAGAAATTAAACTCTGATGGAAACAATAAAAAATGATGATTAAATTTACTTGGGTGATAACTAAATCGGTTTCCTTTGCATAGACGGACGTGTTTGACGTGGGAAATTTCTCAACCATAGAGGCGCGTCTCTTCTTCGAGAGGAGATACAATGTGTTCTTCGTCCACGTGTACATCCCGGCTGCTCTGATTGTGCTGCTGTCTTGGATTGGGTTCTACATCCAGAGAAACGCCACACCTGCCAGGGCCTCAATTGGTTAGAAGCGCAATGATAAAACTACATGTTTTTCCATACCGAAGTGGGATTTTTTCTGTTTAAGTTTTCATTTAAACATTTTATTTCTATTTTATCTCTGGGCTGAAAAGTTTCTTAAAACTTTTTTTAAGCTCCGGTGACCTCAGGTTCATTCCAATTGGTTAACGGAACATTGACTTAATTTATACGATGCCCCATAAATCTACCTGAAAATTTTCGTTTAAACAATAAATCCACCACCTCCGTTTTGTTTTTCGTTCAAAACCATTAATAGTTTTTGTCGGTGCAAGCTCGTTGCATCACGCTCTAAAAAATCTAACTGCGTCACTCCGTAATCAACTTGTTGATACTTATTTAGCCATACCCGGTCTAAGTCTTAACCCTAACACCGTTAACCCCCGTAAAACTGTACGACACTTATTTGAGTCATTTTATTTACAATCAACCAAATATGATGATCTGGCACGACATTATAAATAACTCAACTAGTAGACATCGCAGCAATTACTTCAACCCTTTGTCCGAAGATAAACTTGTAGCCATCCTAAAACGCTACCGAGCGAAAATTAGTGCTACCGCTTATTGTCATTGCAGCGGAACTGAGGAAACATTTGAAAAATTAAACAATTCATGTATTCTAACCATCAGTAGAGTCGATCACTTGATATCGAAACGTATGGCTAAGAATAAATGGTTGAGGAAGCAGTACTTGGCATTACACCAGCCTGATAAATTAGAGATCAAATTTTTCCAGATCTTTCGCAGACACGGCGAAAACATCAGAACAATTATTGCTAAGACTAAGAGAAAAAACGAATAAGAAGCAACGTACGCTCTCTAAGCAATGCACTCTCTTAGTCAAATCGCAGGGGCACATAGCCGAGGTATATAGGTATTTAGCTTGGCCTTGTAGTGGTGGTATAAGTTGATGCAGTTATGTTACAGTGCTTTAATGTCGTTTTGTTTATTTTTTTTGTACTGAATTAAGTTTTGAAACGTTCCTTTCTTTAATTGTAATTTCACACCTTAACAGTTTGTCTCAATGAAAGAGGAATTAGGCCTGAAAGTATAAAAGCTTATTGAGTCTAGGCGTAACTTCAATATTGAGCTCCTCAATAATCAGAAACATTTTTAAGAAGCCATAGAGAACAAAAAACGAAAAATAATTGTGACAACTACATTCAGAACTCAAATGTCTTCCTGGAAAAGTCTTTTTCAAAATGATGAGATAAAACAAATGGCGGAAAAGGTTACTAAAATAGATGAGACTTAGGAGGAATTGGAACAGTGGCTTGACCTGGTGACAAAGAGACACGATGAGGTAATTCAGAAAGCTAGAAGCTATGTAGGATCTAAAGAAATATTGAGGTTCGTTTCATCGCGTTCGGGGAAGTGGTTTTCTCGAAGGGTTCCGAAAAACTTCGAAGTTCACATTGGTCTTGAGTCTCAGGTCACAGTAAAACAAGCTAAATGATTTCCAGTCAACGGAAAAAAGAGTTGTTGTCGGCTAAGTTAAGATTAGAAGAGATTGAGAGACAAAATGAAGCGTCAACGCGCCTACTAGAAATCAAAAAAAAAATTGAAAGAAGTACAAATCCGCGAGGAGACTAGAAAAAAACCTTTAACTGAGTTGAAGGAAGACCTGTTTGCCTGACTTTCTTGACCTGTTTGCTAGCTCGGTAAGCTCTAACAGAGAAATAGCAGATAATTGCAAAGAAACTGGGGTTGATAATGTGCCGAGTTTGAATCCTGTAGTAACCGTAACCGAACCGACCGCATATACTTTTGGTTTGAATACGGTTCTCTATAATGCCCCAGTGCATTTCGTTCTTGTGTGTAACGCCCAGTTAGGTGGCTTGTCTTCTAAGATGGTGCATGGGGCTGAAGTATCCCCCATGATTACTAAATAATTTTTACAGCTTGCTGCCGGCACCAAGACTCGGCAAAATATCGGCTAATGTGGCTCGAAGTTAAATCAAGCTATATCACAACCACACCGATGCAAATGAGTCTTAGTTTTTAGAAGCAAATGAGTCTTAATGCTGAGCACGCCGCAACTGCTAGTTTTGAAATGGTGTACCTTCTTATAAGAATTTACCTCCTCATGCTGTAGTTGTTCCGGCAGTACGCCATGTAGGTCATCGCACCTACTTCAGTCAGTTTTTCAACCCGAACCTCGAATGATGGTTCCCTGCAACCGCAACACCGACCCCCCTTACTTTGCAACCCTTTAATTATCGCACGTATCTGAGGCAGTAACAACTGATGCCCCTCCAAAATCCGTTAAATTTCTCTACAAAAACGTTGGAGCATTTTACGATTTCAGTCAGCCACACGAGCAAGTACCCTTGCAATCATCGATTGCACCGGTTACTCAATGCTCGTCCGGTCATCGGCTGAACTTTAGAATCCAGCCGAACCGTGCGTATACCAACCTGTCACGAATTATGTCAATCCTCCGCCGCAATCGATATTCGTTCGAAACTTAGCCGAAGTGTTGGTAACGAACAGAATGATCCGTTACCCGTTTATAAATTTTCAAAGTATGATGGTAATCCGTTGGAATGGCATGACTAGATGGGCCAGTTTTGGAGTGCGACTGATTATCAATGGTTTCTTTCGGACGACGTCCAGCCTACGCACCTTAGAACACATATAACTGGGGAAGCTATGTTAGTAATAGCGGGCTTTGCGTATTCAGGTCGAATGTACAGATATCCACTAACGGTTTTTGAAGGAAAGCTTAGGCAACCTCAGACCGTCGCAAGTTCCCACATCGAAAAACTTAATATCATTCCATCAGTGAAAACACACAATTCGGAAACCAATATTAATAGGTCGCTTGTGTTATTTCAAGTCTCATTGATGTGTTTCGATTGTTGTCATATGGGCAGGATCTGAATTGAACCGCCGTCTTGCATGAAGCTTAAAGTAAATTGCTTCCGAATTTGAAGGAGTCTTGGTCACTCTACACGGTCAAGCGTAATTTTTATCGCCCTAATCTCCTTGAGTACAATGAGTGGTTGAAAGAAAAGGCCGAAACGCATGAGCATTTGCAAAGATTTTCTTGTAAATCAAAACCCGAGGAAACCGTCGAGACAAAAACTATCAACTACCAAAGCCGAACAAGGTAGAATATCCTCCCTTCCTTGCCCGCACTGCGCTGGTAGATATCCGCTATGGGGATACAGGGTTTTCAGGGAAAAAGACTCTATTCAAAGGCCAAAATTTTCCGCGGAGAAAACAGTCTGTTTCTCCTGTCCCCAAGCGGACCGCGTCTTCCCCAATTCCCCGAAAGCTAGGAATTGCTGGAAACCAGAGTGCAAAAGCACGCATAATGCCCTCTTGCATGGTGCAGACTGCACTTTTCCTCATCGAAAGGAAGAAAAGAGTCTTTTACTGGAAAAGCTCTGGCGGATATATCAATTTCGTAGTGTTTCGCATCCACGCAGGACGGTAAAGTTCTTCTCCAGGTGATTGGGTTTAATGTTTCATCTTAGACAAAAACCGATAACGCCCTCGCCTCGTCTTGTGTGATTCTCCTTGCTTTCCGCAACCTTGGCCATCTGAACTTCTCAGGGAAAAGTTGATTTGACCCCAAATAACTATAATTCAACGGATTATCTTTCGACTTAGTTAGTCGAGGTCACACTATCCGCTCACTTAAATAACATCGGCTATATCTTCAGTTTAACCGCTGACGTGAAGGTTGAATTTAATGTTACATCTCAAAAGGTTGATTTTCCCTCCCATCAAGAAAATTATCTATACCTGGAACCAATAAAGCGAGTTTGATAAAGTTATTCGGACATCTAAATGGTTATAAGTCAGGACTGTTATCATCACAGACACCCGCTCGATTATATTCATAAAAGTTACGAGGTCAAACTAAGCATTGGATAGGCGCACAGTTTTGGGTCTGTATGTTCCTGGATTCCATAGACAAACTTTTAAACATAATTCAAATTGTCAGTGGAATCCACTTACAAAACTTCCGTGGATTCCGCGTACAAATACATGTAACGTAATTTTTGTCGGCACAATTGTTGTGCCGCGGATTCCACAACAAGCGAAAAAAGCTATTTGTTCTGGATTCCGCAACTGCCAGTGGATTCCACTAAATGTAGATGGAATCTGCAAATGACAGTAGAATCCGCAAAATTTGTAAATTGTAAGCGGAGTCAGAATTTTGTCTATTATTGAACTTGCATATGAACAATGAAAAACTGGAGCTGAGATTTTTATCTCTAGCAATGCGGAATTTAAAGGCAAGGAGGTAACCATTGTCAGCGGAATCCACCAACGAATCTCAAAACATTTGTTAACTAAATTGGTGGATGTCAGCTTTATGTACTTTGGAAACACAACACCAAATAAATTCATTTTTTGGAATCATTGGGTTGAGAGTGTACGGTAGTATAACACTCATCGTATCGCCACTTTAGGTTAGTATTTTGGATTGCGTCAAACCCAAATACTGATGTTGGAAGCATAAAGCCGAATAAAATTATTATTTTTAGCCATTGGATTGAGATTGTTTGGAAAAATAACATTTAGCATATCGCCTAGTTAGGTCAGTATTTGTGATTGCGAGAAACCCAAATAATGGTTTTGGAAGCTTAAAACCGAATAAACTATTTATTTGTAGTCCATTGCTTGAGAGTGTTTGGAAAGACAACGCACATCATATCGTCGATTAAGGTCGGTATTTGAGATTGCATCAGTATTTGGGATCGAAGTTCACATCGAAGTAGGTCAGTATTTGGGATCGGTCAGTAATTGGGATCGATGTTCAGTAGGTCATTAATTGGGATCGAAGTTGAGATTGGCAGGGTTTGAGATCGAATTTGGGTTGACAGGAACAGAGACCAAACGTTTCAACTGGTTGTAGAAACTGGATATAGTAACTGAGAATGATTTTTCTAAACGCTATACTTTTGAGATTGAGTTCTAAACGCTATACTACACATTTACATATATTTAAACGGAATCCGCAAACA